AATTCCAAGGTATTTCATTTTCCTCGGTGCTATTGTAAAAGGTATTGTTTCTATAATTTCCCTCTCAGTGTGTTTGTTGTCTGTGTAGAGGAATAATGCTCTTTAATATTAAATTCTGTATAGTCTTTCTTTTGTGCCTGTGATTAAAAAAAATAGAATAGTGAAAGCCTTCACTAAATTGAGTTTTTTTAACTTGTTGTTCTCATTACTTTTACTTATATTTCTTCATACTTACAAATGTAGTCTTTTATAACATTGCAAATGTGATGTATGTCTCATGTGACTCATATTTGTTAGTACAGTGTTTCTTTCAATTTCCTTTTTGCCTAATTCCCCGGCTTCTCTTTATTCTCCATGTTTCTGTGTTTTCCTGTCTTGTTTCACAGTCTTCTGCAGCTTGAAGCAGCAATGGCAGTTTTCTTCTATCTGCTCAACACGCCAAGAAGCACGTGGGCGCACAGACACCCTGAGTTTTGGAGGCTTGTTCACTTAGACAATAGGGCATCCATGGAATTGAGGTCCCTGAATCTTGCCAAGGCTCATCCATGCATCATTAGGTCATAGAAATTGGGGCTTCCTCCCAGACAGGTGTGTGTGCTTCTTCTAAGCTCAGCAGTGTTCCTCGGTACAGATACTCCTCCCTTTGCTCAGGCATTTCCAGGTTGATGGGCACCCCTTCATTTTCCCAGGAACAGTGATGAGAAAAACAAGTTTTTATTGGAGATTTTGGGTCGTGAGTAGCATATCATGAAGAGGGAAAGACAACTGGCAGGGAAGAAAAGGGCTTCCTCCTGCAGGGTTCATGCCACCAAAGAATGGTTTATTTTCCTGTTTTAAATGAGGTGGAGCGAACATTACACAAGGAATTTTAAAATGCATCTGAGATGTCCAGGGCCTCCCACAGTGAAGATCTGCTTGGAAATGAACCCAGGGGAGCCAGGAGGGGCCTACACCCTCCTGCTCACTGGAGAAGCTCAACAAGCACAGCGCACAGCAGCATCCCCAGCTCAAGGTCTCTCGCCTTTGCTAGTCACCATAAGGCTGTTTCCTCCATGCTTCATTTGAGCTCCACCAGGCTCATTGCCCTGATGTCTAGCAGATTTACTGTTTTTTCCCTCTTGGGGTCCCAAAGACATCAGAACCTAACAGCACTTCCAGATTGAAGGGTCCTGAGCCATCCTCATGCCTCCCAAGTGCCCATCACCTTTAAGGAGTCTTGGCACTCACTGAGGAGCCCTGAGGCCCAGCGGTAATAGGATTTCCTTGACCAGGAGCCCATCAAAGCTGTCCATGGTCCTTGTCAGCTGCAGAGAAATCTAACACTGATGTGTTCTAGCCCACCAGAATTGGACCAGGTCACAGCAGACATACCAGGAGACATACACATTCAGCTCTTTCCTGCCATCCTTGCAGTTAAGAATATAGCTGTCATAAGGAAGTGTAGGGGCTAGGGAGATGGCTCAGTGGAATAAGCACTTCCCTGGCAAGTGCAAAGGCCTGAGTTCAATCCCCAGTACCGAAAAAAAAAAAAAAAAAAAAAAGGAATTGTAGGATAGGTTACAAACAACTAGACTCTACAGGTATCTCCAGCCTGGAGCACAGAGCCAGCCTGTCATTCCCACAAAGCCTCCACATACTTTCCTCTGCTCACTTGCTCCAGGACTCACAGCTCTGCCCCAGGCAGTGCCCTCCCACTGCCCACCTGTGGCCAGTCACA